GACGGGAGCTGGAGATGATTGGCCGAATGCCTACCGCCACTGTCCCATGTCACGACAGGAGGCCCTGGCCAAGAATGGCAGGAGCCGGCCTTCCAGGTGTACCACGCCCTCTTGTTCGGCCTTCCGTTGGCGGTCACCTCCTTCAACCGCTACTCCCGGATGGCGGAAGCTATGGGCAGGCGTTTTCTGGCAATTATGGTGTCCATGTATTTCGACGACAGTCACATTACAGACCGCGCAGTACACGGCCCATCGGCCCAGTGGAGTTTTGGCGCCCTCAACGACCTGCTGGGCACCCCGTTCGCTGAGGAGAAGCGCCAGGGAGCTGCGGATGTCGGTACCTTCTTGGGGCTTGATTTCGATCTCTCGGAGGTCCACACACATGGGCGCGCGCGGTTTTGGGTTCGAGAGCGACTCGAACAGAAGGTGCTCACCTTCATGCGTGAAGCCAGGAAGAGCGGGAAGTTCACCCCGGGTCAAGCTGCGAAACTCTACGGCATGGTCAACTTCCTGGAGCATGGCCTCTTCGGGCGCATTGGCTTGGGCGAAATCCAGGCATTGAAGGAGCACCAGTACGGGGGCTCCAGCAGAGCCAACGCCAGCCTCCTGGCGGCTTTTGACGTGTTGGAGGCTATCATCAGTATGCGCCCCAGGAGAGAGCTGATGGTCCTCCCCATGGATGTGCCGAGGGTGGTGGCTGCCTCGGACGCGGCTTTGGAGGCACCTCGTCAAGAATCCGGCGGATACCACTTGGTCTTCCAGGACGGTGGCGTGCAGATTCGGGAGGCCTTTGTAGCCATCATCCCCGCGCAGACCTATGACATGTGGGGACCAGGAGACCATAAAATAGCCCAGTTGGAGCTGTTCATGGTGGTGCACGCCCTTACGGCGAGACCCGACCAATTCCGCGGGAGACGCGGAGTGTGGTTCATCGACAACATCGCCAGTCTTATGTGTTTGATCAGGGGCAGGAGTGACAACCCCGACTTGGCCAAGATGGCGACGTATATTCAGTGTTTGCTCTTCGCGTTGCGAGCCTCACTTTACTGGGAATACATTCCATCCAAATCCAATTGGGCCGACGCGATCAGCCGATTAGGACCCAGTGACCCATGGTACAGGGCCAACCACTTCAAGTTGAATTTCAGTCTTTTCCCTCCAGCTCTACTGAGGCTTCCGTACCGAGCAGTGATTACCTTTGCTGAGTTCCTGTGAGTGCATTGGGAGAGGTTGTGAAAGAGGTTGTGAAAGTAAGTGCGTTGGGAGATGTATCCTGCTTGATGCAGGGCATCCAGAGCTTATCGGGGGTAAACCCGATGTGCCGAGGAAATCGGCGAATTGGCTGGGCCACAGCATGAGGAAATTCATGCTGTGGATACCAATGCAAATCCCACAGGAAAAGGTGGGTTGTCAGGCTATAGACTCGTGTCGCATCGCTGGAGTGAAAATGCTGCGGTGCTGTTTATGTCAAACCTCCTTGAGAATGTAATCCTGTATCAGGTTGGAAGGCTTGGGTTTACAGGCTTCATTCTGCAAGGAGTGTATTGGATCATGCGGGGTTTTTGGTTCAAGCATGATCCAAACTGGCTAAATTTTAACCCCACCCTATCCCGCCCTAGATCACCGGCCCCCCTAGTTGGGACGTCCGTGATCTTTGAAGAGCGCGCCGCGCTTGGGGAATGCCTGGGGGACCAGGCCCCCAGTCAGTCAGTTAGCTCTGTGGTGGGAGATGTATCCTGCTTGATGCAGGGCATCCAGAGCTTATCGGGGGGTAAACCCGATGTGCCGAGGAAATCGGCGAATTGGCTGGGCCACAGCATGAGGAAATTCATGCTGTGGATACCAATGCAAATCCCACAGGAAAAGGTGGGTTGTCAGGCTATAGACTCGTGTCGCATCGCTGGAGTGAAAATGCTGCGGTGCTGTTTATGTCAAACCTCCTTGAGAATGTATCATCATCATCGTCATCATCATCGTCATCATCATCATCATCATCGTCAGCATCATCGTCATCATCATGGATGATAACCATCATCGTGCATCCTCTGCATCACCAACAGTCATGATGATACTCATGACTACGCACCCTCTGCATCTCCAATCGGCTCTAACGTCACCCTTGAAACGTATATAAAATAAAAGAGACAAGCACGACAACGATTATGTATGATACAAGCGTGTCATCATCATCATCGTCGTCATCATCGTCGTCATCATCGTCATCATCATCGTCATCCTGGTTGATAACCATCATCGCGCATCCTCAGCATCACCAGCAGTCATGACGATAATCACATCTACGCATCCTCTGCATCTTCAATCAGGTCGCAACAATGATGATGTGATGATGAGCATGTCATCATCACCATGGTGGTGATTATTGTCATCATCATCGTTCGTCATCGTCGTCATCATCACCGTTGTCATCATGGATGATAACCATCATCGTGCATCCTCTGCATCACCAGCAGTCATGATGATAATCATGTCTACGCATCCTCTGCATCTCCAATCAGGTCACAACGCTGACGTCATCATCGTCATCATCAATATCATCGTCAGCATCACCAACATCACCGTTGTCATCATGGACGATAACCATCATCGTGCATCTTCTGCATCACCAACAGTCATGATGATAGTCATGACTACGCACCCTCTGCATCTCCAATCGGCTCTATCGCCCTTGAAACGTACAAAGAGATAAGAACGACAACATCATGTCTACGCATCCTCTGCATCTTCAATCAGCTCGCAACAATGATGATGTGATGATGAGCATGTCATCATCACCATGGTGGTGATTATCGCCATCATCATCGTCGTCATCATCATCGTCGTCATCGTCATCATCACCGATGATAACCATCATCGTGCATCCTCTGCATCACCAACAGTCATGATGATAGTCATGACTACGCACCCTCTGCATCTCCAATCGGCTCTATCGCCCTTGAAACGTATGTATATAAAGAGATAAGAACGACAACATCATGTCTACGCATCCTCTGCATCTTCAATCAGGTCGCAACAATGATGATGTGATGATGAGCATGTCATCATCACCATGGTGGTGATTATCGTCATCATCATCGTCATCATCGTCATCATCACCGTTGTCATCATGGATGATAACCATCATCGTGCATCCTCTGCATCACCAACAGTCATGATGATAATCATGACTACGCGCCCTTCCCGTGCGCCTCCCCCTTTGAGGAGAAGGGGTCGGCGGATATGGGAGATCACTATTTTCTTGCATTTTTTTGGCATAGTGATTTGGGCACCTCAAAATAGCGAGGATCCAAATAGTGATTATATGGGAGATCACTATTTTCTTGCTTTTTTTTGGCAGGCGACAACCCTCAAAACCCGGAAATCTGCAAATCACAACGGGAGATCACTATTTTCTTGCTTTTTTGGAGTGGCAAATCACTATTTTCTTGTTTTTTTTGGAGGCGACGACCCTCGAAACCCGGAAATCTGCAAATCACAACGGGAGATCACTATTTTCTTGCTTTTTTGGAGTGGGGACCCTCGAAACCCGGAAATCTGCAAATCACAACGGGAGATCGCTATTTTCTTGCTTTTTTGGAGCGGGACATCACTATTTTCTTCTTGTTTTGTGGCAGGCGACGACCTTCGAAATCCGGAAATTTGTAAGTCACAACGGGAGATCCCTATCTTCTTGCTTTTTTGGAGCAGACAATCGCTATTTTTTGCTTTTTTTGGCAGGCGACAACCCTCGAAACCCGGAAATCTGCAAATCACAGCGGGAGATCACTAGTTTCTTGTTTTTTTTGGAGTGGGAAATCACTTTTTCCTTGCTTTTTTTGGCAGGCGATGATCACAGCGGGAGATCACTATTTTCTTGCTTTTTTGGATGTTGTCGCCTGCAAAACAAAACCAAGAAAATAGGGATTTCCCACTCCAAAAAAGCAAGAAAATAGTGATCTCCCGTTGTGATTTGCAGATTTGCGGGTTTCAAGGGTCGCCGCCTGCAACAAAAAGCAAGAAACTAGTATTTTCCCACTCCAAAAACGCAAGAAAATAGGGATCTCCCGCTGTGATTTGCAGATTTACTGGTTTCTAGGGTTGATCACAATTTTCTTGCTTTTTGTTTCACAATTGTCTTGCTTTTTTTTTGCTATTTTTGGTCTCTTGTTTGCTGCATTCTTGCTTTTTTAGTGCCCACTGTTTGCTCTAAAATCACTTTTTCCTTCCTTTTTTTCCCACCCGAAACTTGGGATCACTATTTTCTTGCTCTGTTGCTTGCTCTACATCTCACAAAAAAATTAAAACAGCATTTTCCAATGGTTGGCTGGTTTCGCAAGTCTTAACCGAAAAGGTGTCTCAGCAAAAGGCGGCTGGCAGATGAATGCACACGCTGGAAGCAGAAAAAAACACGAAGGCGTGCACTCCACACTTGATTTGGGCACGTCTCAAAAGGGGGGGAGCTCTTTTTGCACGGGTTGAAAGGGAAAAGGAAGCTAAGCACCTGGAGGAGTCTCTCATTTTGACGGCGATTCTCGTGGCTTCCCGGTTCGGGTCTTTGGTGCGCTCAGGACTCTGCCCCCTCAGCGGCGGAGCTTGCAGCCTTCCGTGCGGCTCTTGGGAGGTATGGTCCAAATTTGTGGAACGCCCCAGCCCAAAAGCGCTTGTCCCAGCGCTTGTCCCAACGCCCCTCCAGAGATACAGCCATGAGTGCAAGGTGAGCGGTATCCAATGGACGAGCGTCGGCCTGAGATTTGAGGCCATCGCCCTCAGACGAGGGGCATCGGCAAGTGGTTGCACAAGTCTATGTTGCTATCCCTAATCCTTGGGGATGCCCTCCCACCTTCTTTTACATGGAACCGTTCGGGTTCGGGAAATGGTGCCTTCAAATGGAAGATTGTCTCTTCACGGTCCCGAACGTCAGGTTCCATGTTAATTGGTGGGAGGGTATCGTTTTTGTTTGTTTCCGTTTTTCGTTCTTGTTTTTGGTTTTTCAGACTTGAGCCATGGGCTTGACGGTGGGACAAGCCCCATGTCCGCCAGAAGTGAGGCGCGCCTATGAGTACTTGACCAGTTCCGCGGCCAGTGCGCAGCGGAAGGCCGGGGAAAGCGGCCGTTGGGACCTGTCCAAACGGGTGTCCCGGAAGAAGCGTGTCTTCAGCGAAGCTTTCCTCAGTGGTTTGGGCTGGTGGTTTTTGGACCCCTGGTTCTTGTAGAAGCTTGAAGGGTAGGTGGAAGAACCCTCCTTAAACGACAAAGCACCAATCCAAGCCACCAATTAGGGGAAGCGGATCTTTATCGACCCAACGTGACGGTTTCAATGGAACACACCGTGTCCTACAACTTTTGAGGGGAATTCAGCGTTCCAGGTCTTTTGAACTCATGTGCCATTGTGAAAGTGGGCAATGCCAAAGACATGATCCTGAAACAAGGCTCGCCAAATATGGGCTAGTATCTAAACATGTCATTTTTGGAGGCATTTTCTCTTGCCAGAGGTCTCGATATGTTTCCTGAAAGTGTGTTTGTAGAACACCGCCTTTGGGTCCAATTTTGGAGCAACTCATTTGTTTTCTCCGGGTGTTCGAGGAAAAGTAGAAATTAAGAGAGACCTGGGCCCCCCCTACCCGCCAGAGAGTTCTCAGAACCCTTCGATCAGAGCCCTGCTAAGAAGGTTCCTTCCAAACTCTCCTATGTCGAGGGTGGCTTCGGCCAACTTTGGCTCCTCCCTCAGCTCCTCTTCGCTTGAACTGGTGGAGCATGGAGGTTTGTTTGAAGGCAACCCAATGGGTTTCCGATTTGCCCGCAAGGGATCAGACTGTGGACGGACGAAATCCTGCACCGCTTGGACGCCATTCGTTGCTGGTATTTGCAGGGTAGTCGACTCATTCCAGGGTTTCTGAATGGTGGTGCGAAATGGATTTCCTCCATCCACAGGATGGCCTTTCTGGTTGGCCGACCCTCAGCTCAGCCCTTGCTCAGCTGCACGAGTTGAGAGGTGCTGCAAGACTTCAAGCCCAGCAACGAGGGAGAGCCGGACTACTCCTCGTTGGTCGGGGGAGCCCGAGCTCGAAAAAGCAGCAGAGCGCTCGCGGAGCGCTCGCAGCTCGAAAGGCGCCGCGTTTGAGTTGGCTGTGGGTCAAAACCAATGGTACCATGTCGGGGTAGGTGCACCTCCATTTTAGTCGGGATTTTAGTGGGGGTACGGGCTTTTGACCCATGGCCAGTTGGCAGCCAACCAGTTGTCAGCAGAGGCCAAGAAGGGGACGCTTAGTGTTGCTAACAAAAACGGCCCCCCCCCCCCCAATTTTTCGGCACGGCTGGCAAAGGGTAGTGCAGACCGATGGTAAGTGAAGGTTGAGGGACACCCTTGATATCATTTACATGGTTTGGGGCCTTTTTGGTGGGCCATTTTGGTACCTGCTTTTGAGTATGACACAGTTGTTCAGTGGAACCGTTTCCTTTTTTTTTTTTGGCTGGGCTTCCCAGGAAACAGCAACCTGTAACCGTTTTCCCTGTTACAGCTAGCGCGGCTTGGGTCAACCTGCGGACGCACCCTCCCAATAATACACATGGAGCCTGAAAGAGGACCCCTTGTTAGGGGAGAATTATCGAAATCAGGGCGGTTCCTTTCAGGTTCTGCGCTTGTTTCTGAGAGGGTAGCGCAGTTGTTTAGCAAGGTCCCTCATAGTTGAGAGAAAACGACACATTAGTAGCTGATTTGGAGTGATGTATCTTTTAAGGAACCCTGTCTCAAAGTGTAGTGGGCAGGCGTACAGATGGGCCCAAGGGGCACGCGGATGTTGAGAGTTCGACGATGAGGTCACCTCTGTAGTGAAGAAGGCGCGACTGGTCCGAGACTCAGCCAACCAGCCCACCAACTGTAGGACCCCGGATTGATCGACCTGCTGGATCAACAGTAGTGTCTGCATCTGGACCCCCTAAATGGAAAACCCCCCCCAAAAAGAAAAGAATCAACCAGTCTATGCATCACCTGGTTCTCCGTGACTCCCAACCCCTACCCCTTCTCTTTGGTTTGTGTTTTCTTTTTTGGGCGGGGGGGGTGACCTCCACCAGGTGGATCAATCCCTGGTGATCGCACCGCCGGGTAGGGCGAGAAACTCAGGCAGTGAGCTCCGTGCCAGCCTTCAGCGCGAGGAGCGGTGAGCTCGGGTTTCTTGGGGGGTGCAAGGGTTTCGGGCAAGGGGCCCCTTGCCCCCCCTTGGTGGTTTGACCCTGTCTCTCTTTGTGCTTTTCTTGGCGGGAGTTGGTGCCAGTTTCAGGTTGTAGTCAGCCAGTTTGGGGTTCCCCTGTTCTAGAATGCTCGACACCCTTTCGGAGGGGTTGCCCTTCAAACTCAACCACTTTTGTCTCGTTGCGCCGGGTGCCGGGCGTTCATCTGAACCTCGGACTAATCCGGAGCACCGCGTCATCCGAAGTCAAAAATCACGCTGATGCAACACAGGAGCCAATTTTTGATTGCACTTCTGTGCTGGTGAATTCAGACTCCCCCCCTGCCTGTGGAGGGCATGGACTCACTAGCGGTATCGTTTGGAGAGATCTGGTGTGAACTGCTCTCGACTCAAACAAGTGCTGCTTTGAAGGACATGCCAAAAGCAGCAAGGTCTACTTGAATCAACTGCTTCGCGTTTTAGGCCTTCAGGTGGAAGCACCAGGTCTTGGCAGCCACGTCAGCTAAGGTGTGACGTTGCGGGCAGCCCCTTTCAAAGGCAGGCCCTGCATTCAGAAGGCTTTCTTGTTTCTTCTCCAAGATTGCTGGCTGTTGAAGTGACGACGGAATGTGGTTGAGGCCTGATGATTGGTTTCCGGTCTTTGGCAACCGTTTATTGGGAGCGACGAGTAAAATAGTCTTTAGCGAGAACAGGCAAACTCTTGGGGAGAAGCATCCAGAAACAGAAATTCAGGAAACAATGTAAGGATGGGCATGGTTGGAATGGCTGCGAAAGTCAGGGGGTGGTGTTTGTGGGTTGTGGTTGGCTGGGTTGGTCGGGACGATGGGACGATCGGGACGGTTCGTTATTTGAAGCGGTTGGGCGGTTGGGAATGGCCGCGGCGGTCGGAATGGTTTGTCGGGATGATCGAGACGGATCGGATGGTTGGGCCCAACCAAATTTTGTGGTGGGGCGCGGGTTTCTGGTCAGGGTGGGTTTAGGTGGCTTTAGGGTTTTGGGTGGGTTTAGGGTTTGGGGTGGGTTTGGGCCGGGTTTGGGGTGGGTTGAGGGTTTGGGCTGGGTTTGGGGTGGTTTAGGGTCACTTGGTTCACGGCAAATTTCGAGGTTCGCCGAGGGGATTCCCGAAGCGACTTGTGCCGGCCGCGTTCCGAAAGAAAAATTGCGCCCTCCGGCTGGGTTTCTCTAGGCACTGCACGCCCCTCGCCGGGGCCCGGAGGGGGGGGAGCTTGACGCTTCAAGGTCAAACCGTGTCCCATCGTGCGGTTGCTCAACATAGTCTATGGGTAGATTTGGGGTTTGGATGTTGGGGTTTGGAGATCTCTAAATTTCAAACACACATTTGGGAGTGTTGTGTGCACTTCCTTGGCCGTGCCCAGGTTGGGGCCCAGCTTGGAGGAACTGAAAGACTTCCGAGGCGCTTGGAACGGAGCTGTTTGAACATGCTTGGGCGCGTGGCCGAGCATGCCGAGCTTGCCTTTTTCAGCATGGCCGTGACTCGTCTCAAACGTGCGTGTGTTGTGTTGCTGTGTGCCCCCCCCAAAAAAAAGAAAAGAAAAAAAAGAGAAAGGCAGAAGGCCATAAAACCGGGTTCCTTCAAGATTTAAGGGATGCATCCCCAGAACCAACGATCATTTGCAAGGAACATTTGCCCAAATGTATCCATTACTCACTCGCCCCGTAGAGAACACCCGACTCGCGCTTCGGGTTCTCCGCAGATCGGTTTCCAATGGACGAGCGGGCCTGGGACTTCCTGCTGAGCGCTCCTGGTCACACGCAGGAGGCGGGGAGGAGGGGTCTGGATCAAAGCGGGTTTGGCTGAAAGGAGATGCTCCAAGCCGCCTTTTACTTGGACGACGCCTTTCACGGAGATTTCCCATGGGGAACCTGTTTTTTTTGGAGTACCCTTTCCCGTATTGTGACTGCCCCCCAAGGCTCGACCCCAAAAAGGGCTTCCCTTTTGGGGAGAAATCCGCCGGACATCTCAGCCCTAGGGCAAAAAAATGGACGCCTTCAGCTTCACGAGAGCGGTGCTGAGGTGGTCTTCAAGGACTTTAGGCCCCGTCGCCTGGATGACGCGGACTACTCCGCTGCTGTGTGGGCCTCGGCCAAAAGAATTGGCCGTTGGGCAGCAGCCTGATTCCCGCCAGGCCGTCACACAATTTGGAGAGGTCGCCTTTAAAGGTTAGGCGTTGCAGGTAGTTTAGTTGGTGCGCGATGTCGACAGTATGCGCACTTGTCGCCGCAGCCAAGCTACCGAAGGACGGCAAGCTGCAAGCACAGTAGGTCTCAGCAGTGTCAAGTGCCGGCTTTCTCTTCTTTGGATTTGTTCAAATGCTGATGTTAGAGTGGGCAGCACCAGTTTATTTAACCATAGAGGGAGGCCCAGTCGGCACAAATGGGAAGCATGGCCAGTCTTTCTTGCCGGGCCAACCACGTAGTTGACCGTTTTGTGACCTCCGGGGGCAGCACTTCCGCAGTTTTGGATGACCCAAGACCCGCCACTTTTCCTCAAGCATATTTTGTTAGGCGTTTCCCCTTTTTTGGCGTTTCTGCGACCGGGCCTGCGCCCCGCAAGCCGCCGAACACGCCGCCCATGCCAACATGTTTTCCCTGGGCGCTCAGCGCAGCTGCGGCGGGGGCGCCTTTGCCGCGGCCCTGGTGGCTGGACGCGACAGGGTGGCGGCGGCCCTGGCAGAACCGCGCAAGGCGGGACAAAATGACACTTCCCATCGGGAAATGGTCCCTTTAGAAGGAAAATGGTCCAAACCGGGAACCCCCCCCCCCCGAACGTCAGGTGCCATGTTAATTGGTGGGAGTCGTTTTGTCCCAGGCAGACCTTTTGGCGCCAGACGTCGAAAGGAATACGGATCTTGAATGACCTGCGATGGGCTGATGTGAGCCTTGGATAGCCTTGGCCAGCCCCCAGAGGTTGCGCCATGGCACATCTGACAATCGGGTTCGTGTCAAAATCGAAGAGAACTCCATGAAGGCAACGATTTCTTTTTGGTTTCCTTGTTGAACCCAACCAGACCTTGCTTCCCAAAAGGCAGGCTCAAGAATCCAGCCGGGTCCTTCCGTGTCAGGGCGGCTGGGTTGAAGTGCTGACGCCCGAGCTCCGCGTGGTGGAGACCCTGGATGTGGCTGCAGCCGATCTGGCAACTTGGCTCTGGAATTTATGGATTTTAGGAGTTACGCCTCAAAAGGGATTGGAGAACATGCATCTCCTAAAATATGTCCCGCTAAGATTCATCCATACTAATTCATTGCTTTACTACAGTTGGGGCAAAGGTGCAAGAGGCACGCCAGCATGGGGGAATTTGGCCATCTACCTAGCGAGGGAATTTCCCCAAGAGGAAAGTAGCTTCTACCACCCCTCCTTGTCAGCTTCCGCAACGTTTGTCGATCCAACCTACCGAGCTCGTTTTCCAAAAGGCAAGGTCGTCTTACGCGAGGCCCGCCCAAGTTCACTGACTCACTTCCAGGGTGCCTGATGGCCTTTTCGCTCTTGCGCTTTGTCCCGAACCCCCCCCCCCCCCCCATCTAGCACCCAGCAATCCAGCTAGCACTGAAGGACACCCTACAAATTCACAAATTCTCGCAGAACCAACACGTATCTCTTCATTTCTAGACACTCGGCGCTCCTTTTGGTGCCCTTTTTGGGCCGGCTGCTCAACAGTCAAAGTTGTTTCTTTATCCAAAGGCAAAAAGGAGATGGTTGTGCATCATGTCATTTCTTTCCAGACCTTGTTGGCACCCATGATCCAGGTTCCTGTATTGAACCCCCCTGAACATTTTATGGCTATTTGGTTGGATCTCTGGACTTGAATCTTTCGCGAAATGACGGATTTTCCGAATTGGACCCACAAAAAGGTCATTCACTTCTTGTGGAGGGGTCAAAAAGGTCATTCACTTCTGAAGGGGTCTCGCCAGCAACCCAGACATCCATGTTGCGAGGTCCCCCTGCTCTCCCAGGCCATCTGTGGGGACGTGCTCATCGCGGGCTGCGCGGACGGCTCCGTGCAGCTCTGGGACCTGCGGGCCAAAGGCAAGCAGCGGCAGCTGTGGGGCGCCCCAGCCGAGCTCGCGGCACGCGATTCAAACAGAAGCTTCGCACCTCGCGGAGGCCGAACAAGCTCGGCCTTTTCTCCCCAACTACCACTGGAGAAAATGAAAAGAAAGAAGAAAAAAAACGCATCGCCGGGAGTGTGGGGGTGGGGAAGCCCCAGAAAGTGGCTGCATGTTCGGGGATTCTGGGCATGGCCACGGTTTAGCTCGCATTTCGAGGTCACATGACGCATGAATGGAGGGAGATTGGGGATGGGAGTGCCGCTTTTTCTCCCACCGGCAGCGGCATCGGCCGAATGAGTTGCCTTTGTTTGAGGTTCAGCGCGTGGGAGCCCGTGCAGTCCGTGTCTGTCACGGATGGCGTCTGTGCGTTGGCCGCGGGCGTCTCCACTACGCTGGTCGACCTGTCGGGAGCTCGGGTCCATAAGGCCTTGGCTTCCACGCATGGTGCGGCCACTCCATGTGACTGGTAGGAGTAGTCATCCAGGGTGGGTTTGGGGAGGACGAGAAGGGGGGCAACCCAAACTCCCAACGCGGAAAAAACCAATCAGGGAAGTCTCCCGAATTTTCCCACTTGTCCTTCTTGTGAAGCAAGTGGTAAGATGAACTCATCTCCTTATGACCTCCTTGCGAACAGGTGTTCCCAGGTGAGGTTTGGTCAAATTACTAATGGGCTATGGTTCATTTGGGTTCAGCTCTAAATTTGCCGCCAAAGAAAAGAAGCTGGGTCCGGAACGCAACTCTGCCCATGTCCTTTTGGAGAAGCAAGTCTTTTTGATTCCGGTGGCACATGGGTGTATCGTTTTTGAGCAATTCGTTACCCTTTTGCGGGTCGTTTTGAAGAGCAGCCAACATGAAACCACCCAGTTTTCCGGGGTTTCCCTCTTGTGAGACAAACAAATAGCCGTTTTCAACGCATAACCCCCCCCCCCCCCCGCCCCCTTTCCAGCTGTTCAGGTCCGGGCAGGAGCTTGGGACCTATGATGTCCACTCCCAGCCGGCAACTTGACCCGGTGTTGCTGTCGCGGATGCCCCCTGGAGGGGGGTGAGCTGGGCCGGGTAGGCGAATGGTTCTTTCGTCCGGGGTGACACTTAGGTGGCACAGCCTCCCCAGTACCATTTAGGGGATGAGACTAGTGCTTCACCCTGGTGCAAGGGCACACACACGTATATATATATATATAACTGTATATATATATATACAAATACATAACTAAACAAGCGAATAAATGAATTCATGAATCCATAAATGAACAAATAGACAATAAAACACAAAACCACACAAACACATAAATTAATAGATCAATACCCAAATGAACAAGAGATGCATGTCTGTGACATCAGTGCGTTCTGAGGTGTCTTGCGTTCGCTTCCACCCGGATCGGCCCTCGCACCTGGTGACGGGCGGGGATGATGGGCTCATGTGCGTGCTGGACACCACTCGGAGGCGAATCGGTCCAGGGAGTCCAGCTGCGCCCCCACGGCTTTGCGTTTCTGGAGGGCGCCGATTTGCTTTTTGGGAAGCGGGCAATTGGAGGACCTCCGCACGTTCGACTGTAGGAACCTCTAGCCTCTGAGAGCTTCCAGGTCCTTTCCGATCCGAAACCGGAGATTTGGTCCAGGGAGCTTCCCTAGGTTTCATGGGATGGGAAAGGCCGAGCAAATGCCAGGCCAACGGAGGAGGAGTCCCTTCACCTGGCCATGAACAGCGAGGAGTCTGTGGAGCGCTTGGCCTTTGCGGCGGAGGGGGACGTGCCACTCGGGACGTGAGTCGGATTTCACTTTTGGCGAGGGGGTAAAGCGAGCGAAAGCCATGATAAAGATCTGTACTTAGAGGGATTCCGTAAGGTTTTGGAGTTGTGGTAAACATTGCAGAAATGTCATTGTGGTTTTGAGGTGGCTCCCATTCCACAGCTGAAACTTCATGTCACCACTTCCAAAGCCTGAAGGCTGCACGTTCGAGCCTTTTGGAGGGGTAATTGTGTGTGTGTGTGTGTGTGTGTGTGTGTGTGTGTGTGTGTGCGTCCTTTCCGCACCTTAACATTGCCAGACTGAACTCGCCTTCTTAACTTTTGGTCCTTTTGGTTGTCCTTCATATTCCCTTGCATTTAGAAAGTTGTCACTTTTTGCAGGTCGAAATACCAGTGGTTCCAAAAAGACAACCAACATTTTGCCTCGCCCTTTTGAAGGGGTTTCCCGCACCCTTCAAAATCAAGCCAAAATGTGTGCCCTTTTGGTTGAAGTTTTCTATCGCTCAAACCCAAAAGGGGTCCCCTTCCATTTATTTGAGCTTACCAAGGTAGACTGAAATCCAGTGGTTGTTTTCTCCCAAAAGGGGACGTCAACCCACTGTCTACCTCGGGGTCAACAAATGGGCTCACATTGCCAGACTCAACTTACCTCAGGTGTTTTTCAGGGAGCCCAGGTGGTCAGGTGACCCTTGGTTGGTGGTTTGGATTTGGATTTGAACCAGGTAGAGGGTAAATGGATTCCAACACACAAATCCAAACCACCAAAGGGAAGCTGATTACTGAGGCCTCAGACCCTTTCCCCCGTGCTCATATCCCAATTTGGAGGGAAGCTGAAAATCAGGCACCCCCCAGCAAATCCAAACCAAAAACGAGGTGCAGCGGAGTTTGAGGGGGCAGCTCGAGGCTCCCCCCCCACAAAAATCAAAAACAATCAAACATGGCAGTTTTCCAGATTCTCCTTCCCCCCCTTCCCCCCCAAGACCAAAAAAACACAAAAGCAAACATCATGGGCGGTGTTCCTTTCGGGTTTCCCTTTGAACCAAACATCGGGGGTTTCCGAGCCCGGCGTGCAGCGTGCAGCGCGAGGCTGTGCAGCGTCTCGAGCTCCAACGTGCTGCAACTCTGGAGCCTCAAGGACCCCAAGGCCGGCGTGCGCTGCGGACGCCTCGAGGCGCTGCGCAGCGACCCCCGCCTCAAGGCCGGGGCCTCGGCCTCGGGCCTCGGCCTCGGGCCTCGGCCTCGGGCCTCGGGGCTGTTTTTTTTTTTTATTTGGGGGGGGGGGTTGTGTGTGTGTGTGTGCTGGGTATTAATGTTTCCGTGAGAAGCTGCCAAAGTCAAAAGACCCGTCCGTCCCTGTCAGGACGTCGACCTCCCCGCCAGCAACAGCAGGAAAGACTCAGAAGTTTCTTCCGGACCTTTTTGTGTGGGGATGTGGGGAGCCCTTATATTTCTCTCCAAAAAGTGACAGGTGCCGGCAAAAGCCATGATTTCTTCCGGAGTTTCCCTGGGGCAATTTTCAGGGTCAGATTTTCAATGCCCAGGTGGGGGAGTCAGACGGCGCCTCGGAGCAGTTGTGCAGCGCTGCGGTTTTCCGGTTTCAAAGCCTTCGCGCAAGTGGACCGCAATCTTGAGGACTCCTTTGGGATGCTTTTGCTTGGTCCATCTTAGGTGGTTGCAATTTGGGGAGTCTCAAAAGTACTGCTTTTGGTGTTGTTTCCCTTTAAGCCACCATATAGAGGGTAATGTTGAGGATGTCACTTTATATAGTGCCTGCACCATTTGGCAACACTATGTTTAAATGAACTTGCAAGGTATGGAGGCTTATATGCCACCAATGTCAAAAAAGGAGAGTGCGGGGCAGTGAGTATATGCCCCTGATGCCCTGATATGGTTGGAATTCGCTCCATACCTCCCGACGTGCCAACCTGAACATTTTCTGAATTCAGAGGATCCAGCATTGAAGAAAGCGCCAGACGCTTTGTCTCATCAGAGGCCACCTCATTGACGTGCTTTCCGACCAGAGCAGAGGGTACGTCCTAGCTGGCAACACGAAAGGCAGGCTCTTCTTGTACCACCTGAACCTGGAAGGCGGGTCGAGATTTGTCGATGGGCATTGTATGCCAAGCGGGCCAAGCAAAGGGCACTAAGCCCCATTTCTCTGCTCCTAAAGTGACCTTTGATTCGGTATAAGGAAGAGGATTTGGGGCGTGCTTTCAGGGAATAACAAGTTGCAAGGCGAGTTCAAGCAGCGAGAGTCAACCACTTTGGTCACAGAAAGGCATATTTCCCGCGAATGGTCAATGTTCTCAAGAGATCAGGAAAAAGGGGATGGATAATGTCCAATCAATCCTCCCCCCTCCTTCAATTATTGGAATCAACCCCCCAAACGACCAAGCCCCAAACGACCAAGCCCCAAACGACCAAGCCCCAAACGACCAAGCCCCAGACCAACCCCCCCCCTTCCAATTTGGCAGTTCAGCACTCAAGCCCCCTCACGAAACCTCTTCCAGGCGCGGAGTTTCTCGAGGCCTCCGAGGGTGCCCCGGCTTTGGGCTGCAGGCGGTTTCAGGGGCTGAGGTTTTGGTCCCAACAGATGGGGTTGGGGTGGGGGGGTTGGGGTGGGGTGGGGGGTTGGAGTGGGTGGATGGGGGGTTGGTGCTGGCTTTAGCGCATGCTCAGATCCAAGGATTGTTCAATTGCATTGCGTGGGGTTGCATGGGACATGACCCAAACTGGTCTTACCAAAGAGTCCATGCAGTAACGGCCCAGGTGAAATCCCAGGGTGAAACAAGTAATGCAAGACCAACCTTGGAACGGGCTCAAACCTGGGGATCCCTTTCATGGCAATGAATGACCTCTGGGTTTCAGGCTGCCTTCCGCGGACCGCTTTTGAACTGATCCCAACTCTTACAACTCATAAACTGAAGACTCGAGGGCCCTGAACAAACTGTGGCTTCGAACAGGGAAACCCACAGTTGACTTTGAGGAACAGCCAAATTTTCGATGGGCTACTGGGCCCAACATTTCCCTGAAATACGTGTCCCGTACACGACCAGTTCGTGGTTGGCATGTTGGCTGCCTGGAAAAGACTTCAAAAATTCGGCAAGGTTGCCAGGATCCCGTAGCAAAGGCACTTGCAACTTCCCAGCGAGAATCTAGGTGGTTTGTTTCTGTCTTTTTGAAGATGCTCATCTTTGGGGTTGGTGAAAAGTGAAACTTGCAGCAAACCATACGCCCCCACACCTAGGCTCATGTCAAACGAGGTGCCGGACTTGACTCTCTTGCTTCGTGAAGCAGTTTTTTTGTTTTAAACCTCTCAGTTGATTCGCACCAAGGATGTCTCCCAATCCCCCCTTGGAATCCCAGCCTTCCCCCGCGGAAGCAACATGGTCTTGGGACCTCCGGTCAGCTTCCATGTTGGATGCGCCACATTCCCTCAACTCTGTGGCCCTTGTGTCGAGTCATTTGTTAATTATGGTTTCCAGGGATTTCCAGGGTAAATTGGGGTATAGCCCATGTATCCCCTTAAAGGTAGGGGTTTGGGGGTTGGCACCATCTTAGAATTTGGGGTGTCACGGCGGGGGAGCGATGTCCACCAGGTTTCATGGGTGTTCCCCTCCAAAAGTGGTCTGATTTCCCACATTTCACCCAGAGACACCCAAGAAAATACACAGGTTGGTTGATTAATATGAAGTCACCCAAGACAATAAACAGGTTGGTTTGTCTAGCTACGGGGTCAAAGGACCCAACAAGCCGTGGAGCCCCAACTGAGCCGAGCCCCAGCTGAGCCCAGGTGGCCACAGCGCGCTGGTCCGGGCCTCCGCCTCTGTGGGTTCCGCCTTCGTCACCGGTGGGGAGGATGGGCGCCTCTGCCTCTGGCGTCGGGACGATGGCGCAGGCGCTGGCATTGACGAATTAACCAAGGATTGGACTCACTCCCTGAGTTCCGTTTCGGACTTAGAGGCACTTTTTCGGGAAGAAGACCAATTTAGCGGTAAATGAACAGATCCAGAACTTGTTTTTTTGTCCAATCCACTCAGGAAGTGAGTGAGTGGTATTTGACCTAGCTGCTCAAGCAGTTCTGTCGGTTTAAGCAGCTAAGTTCGACTTTACAGACTCCAATCCCACCAGAATGTGGCAATCAATTTCGGCTTGTCTCACAGGACAAGACCTCCCCAACAAGAAGACCAAAAGCCACGTGTCTCAAATAGGATGTGGGGACCCATCTTCTACAATGGATGGCTACCCAAAACGACACCCGAATGGTTTGATTTCAACGGTTGCATTCAGAGCGCTGCATGCCCAGCGACGCCAACAAAAACCCGGAGGCAGCCAAAGCCGGGCGAAGCGCCGCAAGTGAGGGTGGGCGGATTGAGATTGGAGGTGAGAGCATGGCTTCAGCGTCAGCTGCCAGATGGACCGCCTTCAGATTTTCTTGGGTCACAAGGAATGGCGCATTTTTGACCCACAAGACCCCAAGATCTTGATGGGAAGTTGCGAGGGTCCCGGGGCAAACACGGAGCCGCCCCCGACAGTGCGCCAGCCCACCCAAGGGCAGAGGAAGAAAGCATCGGAGCGTGAGTGTTGGTCGCCTCAAGCCAGGGGGCTGGGTCTTGGCCGGCGGCTAGTTTTTATCCCGACTGGGGCTTGCATCCATCATAGAAGCCAGCTACAGGAAATTCTAGAGGAAACTAGGCAAATTCCCACCAAAATCAGGGGTTTCCTGTAAAACCAGGTTCCCAACAAGTGGTGTTTGGATGGGCGGTTTGGATTGGCTTCGAAACCACCGGGCTCCACAGCACCAAGTTGGGGTGAGGCGAAGTATTCAGCACGTCCGGAGGTTGACGATACGCACCAGGCTTGCATGGAACCCGTTCCAGGGCTCCAGCCTCCCAAAACGGAGTTTCCGCTCAAGATTTTTGGCCCGGCTTGGGCGGGCTCCGGGCGGGTTTTTGCCTAGGTGCGAGTCAATTCTTACGACATGGGTTCGCCAACAAAAAGGTAATTAGCATACAACACCAGTGAAGGATGTGTTTTTGGCGACCCAGTCTGTCGAAACCCATTCCACTGCTCCATTTCCGGGAAGGGGTTTCCTCGAAGCATCGCGGGGGGGGGGCACAAGCCTACAAGCGCTCTGCTAGATGAGGCTCACCAGCAGGAAGCAAAAGCTTGAACGGGGCATGCGTCAAAATTGGGTTTTGGAGTTTCGGACCCCAAAAGGATTTCGGCTTTCCTTTCGGTTTCCCCGAAAGTCGAGGTGCAAAGGGTACCCTTCGCCTCAAACACGGGCCATGGGTCTGGGGACCCAACCCGATCGGATTTCGTTTGGAGTGAGGTCACCGCCTTCGTGCGGTCCATGACGCGGCGGGTGGCAGAGCAAGGCCCCAGCCTGCGACTGAAGGGTGCGTAAGCGGGGGGTGGGGGGGTGGGGGGGTCGGGTTCATCACAGGGAACTCCCCAAAAGGGCCCCCTACTTTGTGAATCCGGGGTCACAAATTAGATTGCCCTACCTGGTTGATAGCACAAGTAGATTGCCCTACCTGACAGTGACTGATAGTGCTTGCATGGGCCTTTGCAGCCAGTTAGCAGGGCCAAAAGTCAATGGGTATGGGAGCTGCCCCGATACAAGCTGTTCAGGCCATGGTTAAGTTGGTGAAACAGCATCCTTTGGGTTTTCCCAAGGCACCTGAGTTGTTGAAATATGTTTGGTTGCGCAAGTAGCTGTGTATGTTACAGTAGGGGTATTGTTGGGGGAACCTTAAGAATAGACTTCGTGATTGCATAAGCTCAATGTGGGTGTGTCTTTTGGAGGTGACCCCCAAAGTTGTGGTTTGTCCCTTTGGTTTCCCGTTAGAGCCAACCGTGAAAGAGGTACCCTCAAACAAAGACACACCCATCTGTTTCAATCAAAAAACAGGCCGAATTTCGATCCTACCCCTGAGGATGTCAGGGGATGCTTGCTCAGCTTCCTCTTGGATCCGGTTCAAACCGCCTTTGTAAGATGCCAAGTTCTGCGGGTGGCTTCAAGGTGAAAATCAAGGCAACACCACCCAGAGGGTTCCCCTGACAGACGTAGGTGTGTCGTTTGAGGGTACCCCAATATTTGGCGGTCATCGCCTCAAGGTTTTCGGAGACTCTGAGGTCAGGCCAAGCTGGACATGTTCCGGGAGAAGTTCCCGATGGATGCTGGCGCCTCAGCGTGGGTGAGCTGCCCCCGATATGCAAAACCCCTGGATGATTAAATGGCTGTATCTTTGTTTGAGGGTACCCGCTTGTTTTGGCGGTTTCAATCGAGAACCGTTTTTTGTTTCCTTCTTATTTGTTTTCTTCTATGTTTCCTATTTTTTTGGGGGGGGGCCTAAGGGGAAAAAAAAACGCCCAAATGGGGATGCCCGGTTCAGAAGGGGATCCGAGTCACTTTGGGCAGCAACTGAATGCTAAACAGGGAGTCTGGATCCCCTGGCTTTTCGAGTGGTTGGCCAGCGCCAAGGCGCCTGTCCTCGCATGAGTAAAGGCGTTGGCGTGTTGCCGTTTTCCGTTTAAAGCGGAGACTCGGATCCTCCAAAATTAGTTGGATTGGTGTTGTAGACAGCAAATAGGGAAAGAAACACAACCCATAATCACCCTCTAAACCGGGCTCCAAACCAACCCAATGAGCGGGGGGAGCCAAAGCAAATCTGCGTTCGATCCGATTGCTTCTCTCAGGACAGGGCCTTCCAGTACCTTTGCAACTCCAACCTTGAGATGCAGCAAGAGGTGCTCGACGTCTCTGGCGCTTTTTTTGGGGAGAAACACGAAGCGCTTGTTTCGCGTTGCGCCGAACTGCACTGCAGGCCTTGCAGAATTTCGCGCCCAAGCACTTGGACGTCGGGGCCTTGGAGCATGGTCATATTCGAATCTCGCCAGGGTCATGGCTTTCCTTAAGGCAGACAGATTTCGTGGTCTCTGCAACCCCTGGGGGTTGACGGCCTTTGCGCCCGGCTGCTTAGTCAGGAGGCTGACTTCTCCCGGCAGCCGCGCCCTGAGTTCTGAAGATAGCATCTGTGGACATGTCCGTTCGGTGAAAGCCTTGCATCAGGTCCTCCCTGAATTGGTGGCTTGGATTTGGATTTCAACCTCTGAGTATTGTACAGGGTAAATAGAAGACCATGCGCGCAACACTACCGAAGCACCAATCCAAGCCCGCGAATGAGAGGGAGGCTTGTTTTTGTGGGGAAGCCAAACAGACACCGACGCCGGGTTTCCGGCCTCGAGACAAACCCGCCTGCCAGCGGCGGATCGTCGAAAGGCTGACGGCGTTCCTGAACCGCAGTAGGCCGCTGTCGCGAGGCCGTGCTTTTCCAGACCCGGAAACTAGGGTTCCTTGCCCTCGGTGGGTGGAATGGGTGGAATGGGTGGTAGCTGGACAGTTCTCAGGTGTTGGATTGGTGGGTGGACTTGGGTTGTCCAAGTGGGCTTGGGGTTTCGTGACGCGCAACTTTGGGCATCCCGGCAGGTCTGGAGCCCACGATGACGGCGGGGGGCAAGAGCTTTGTGCCAGAGAGCGTCGGCAAGGGCTTTGTCATAGCCAGATCGAAGGTAACTAATACAAGCGGAACGACTACTAACTTTATTTTCCCATGACTGTGGTGCCCCCACCCGCCATTTAATCCCTCGCTTGCCTTGTACTACACAGCTAGGACAACCCTAATAGTGCACACCATTTAATCCCTCGCTTGCCTTGTACTACACAGCTAGGACAACCCTAATAGTGCACAGTTGGCCGAGGTGATTTGAGTTTGAGGGGCTCATGCGTCGTGCAGGAGTCCCGACGTCGTGTTGACTGGCGGCGGGTGCCTGACATTCGCGATCTTCCGCCTGAAAGAGGCACTTGAGCCTGTATGTGTTGTGCGGGTAGGTCTGTTCAGGATTGAAGCATCGCAATGTGCACAGGTGGATTCCAAAGCACTGGTGGGGACTTCGGCAGGAGTACGCATAGAGACTTGGGAGTTGGCAGAGGCTATGACAGAGACCAGCGAGACTTCAGAGACCGCAGCCGAGACTATGGCAGAGACCAGGGTCGAGGCCATGGCAAAGGTCGAGGCCACGGCGAAGGCAGAGACAGCAGAGATCGCAGAGACGGGCGTGCTTTTGCTGGCAGCGATGCTGGTCGCAAGGGGGGCGGGGCGCTTAGGTCCCCGTTTGCCCGTTTCGACGTTGCCCTTGCACCCAGAAGTCTCTCATCTCCCCAAGGTGGTCGGCTACGCGCGTTTCGCGCGCCTGCTGCTCAGCAAATGCTCTTGCCTAGTTGTTGGCTGGGGTTGTCTTGGAAGAGGGGAACCCCCCTGCAAAAGTGGCTTGGCTTCCATCAAAGCAGCCACATGTGGTACCCTCACAAGCACACAGTTTGAGCCCCGCGCGGGTTTCAGGCAGTACCCGATGGACGACCGAGCTTTTAACTACCTGTCAGAGGCGTGGACACCGCCCCAGTGCAGAGGGTGTGACTCCTTCCGGGGCTCCTTGGGCTTCCCTGGGGCCCTGGGGGCTGTTTCAAGAGCCAACCCCCCGCAAAACAGGATGGACCTCGAAACCAGCGGGTTCTTGCTACCCGAACACCGCGAATCTAGCTTTGCCACGTGCATATGCCCCAAGCCTTCCAGAGACCCTTCTAAACTGGGTTGCTGGAAAGCCCTGCTTTACTCTTCAGGTCGCCTTTTGGTGACGTCTCCGTTTTTGTCTCCGTTTTTCTTAAAACGGGCCACGTGTTTGGGTTGTGGACTGGGTATTCCCCAGATCCCAGTTCCTCAGGCAGATGCGGAGGTGCAAGAGGCGGTGTTCTCCGACTTTCAGCCCAAGCGCCGCGTGGAGCCTTGGCGACGCGGCGAGCTGGAGCCATGTGGTCCCCGCTATGTCCCAAGAACATATCAGTGAGTCAACAAAGCAACTTTATTCATGTCCTTTTGGGGATCAAATTGAACATTTGAGGGTAGTTAGCCACTATCTCTCATTGCCCAACCATTAATTTGTATTCTCTCAATGTTTGGACTCCTTCCGTCAACTTGCAGAGAAGTGAGCCTTGGCCCCACGAAGTTCAAACAAGATCAGATGCCATAGGCCCTACCTCAAATCGCACTCCAGGGGCGACAGGTCTCGCCTGTCGGGTTGGGGCTTCGATTTTTCGGCTTTATCTCCAGGTCTCAGGTGGGCGGTGCGCTTTGGCAGGAGCTCTCATGGGAAGCCGCAGGAAGTGAAGGGAAGTGTTCCGTGTCCGAAGGTCACTTGGACGATGATTACTCTGCATCTGTCACGACCTACGTCAAGGCGGGGGTTAGCTTTTCTCTTGCCAAAGAAGAGGGGAAGGCGGGGATGGAGAACCCAAAG